ATTTGACATAAATGTTCTACTAAGAGCAGAGAAGAAAGTAACAAACGTTACCCTTGACAATGAGACTATGAGCTAACCTTTGTCAATAAATACAAGCGTCCTATGAGAATATGAGGGGAAGCTTTTAAGACCTGAATTGTATTAATAAAAGTAATACCCAGAGTCTTATCTCACAAAAACAATAATAAAAAAAACTAATACTGAAAAGTTTTTGATTTTATTTCCAAGATCAAATATTACAACAGGACATTTACATGTATTTATAAAAAAATGCAGCAGTTGAATTTATAGATCAGAGGTTTCCTTGAGTTTGGTCCCTCTCTCAGCACAGTGAGCTGATGTCTTCAAAAGACTTATCATCCCAGTCCCCTCCCGCCCCCACCCCAATTGTCCCACCCGCCCCTCCCCAATTCAAGTTGCAGTATCAATATAAAGCAACTGGGTACAACACAGCAAGAATATTCACAATTTGGTACAGCCAAAACCAGAGGATCACCAACTGAAAGATCCTCATTTTAGAAATTACCTATAGACTATGTATATCTATAGATATATCACACCCAGTTATCTAAGATTTCCCTGGTTTTAGAGCAAGTGGAAGTTCCATTGAGTCTTAGCCAGCAGTTACAGCTCTACTTTATCTAATGGCATGTTTTACTCCTCTTACAAGTTTAGATTTTCTATGGTCTCCATGTGTCTTCAAATTTAAGGCTTTCCCTAGCACCTTTATTATCACTTACTAGATATACAGGAGGGTCTCTAGTGTGTCTTGAATAAAAAAATTTAGTGGATGATCCAGTTGCCCCTTGCTCACTAGTCCCAAAGCCTTCCCACTTTTGAGAAGAGCTGCAGAAACAAATGATATCTCCTAGCACCATGGGATTAAAAGCCCAGAAAACTGAGAATTTTATGTGTATTTGAGAGAGCACTTGCCAGAAACTTTACAATAGGAGCACTGTCTCTGTCCATTATCTTCTTGGATTCAATTACAAAGTTACACTACAGATGAAATTTAGAGCCTGTCCTGCATTAAGAATGCAAATTCTTGCGTTCTAAGACCACCACTTTATCCAGAATAAGTTGAGCATACAAACATCCCAGGGAATCTCTAAATACTGTTAGGAACTGCTTGAGAAACACTTTAAAGCAAACACCCCAAGATGACTTCACTCAAGTCCCCAACCCACCCCCATCCCTATCCCCAAACAAATTTCATTCCTTGATTAACCTCTCTGAATAAGATGGGAAGTGAGGTTTGGAAAATGACTTGAACAATGTTTAAAAAACACAATTAGTGAAGACATGCCAGAACTGGACATCCCAGATGATTCAAAACGCATTGTTCAAACTGAACTCATACAAAGCATGCACAGAGCCTACAAACACTTCTGAAGGTTTCCATGGAACAGTCAATAACTACGGGAAAAAGGACTTTGTTTCTTAAACGGTTGGAAAAAAAGAAAGACACCAGATGTTTAGAAGTTGTTAACAGTCAAAAGGAAAACCGTTCTAGAAAAAACATTCTTAAAAGAGTGAATAAAATTTTGTCTAATAGATTAATGCCAAAGCTTGGAATGGAAGCCCCCTCAAAGTCTAAGCATCATGTTAGCATCAACTGGTACTCATTGCGCTTTATCTAAGACTACAGATTATCTCATATAGCTTTACTGTCTGTTTCCCAGCAAGTGTTTTAAACAGCCTTTCCAAACTGAAGGGACAAACCTAAGAAAGTAATAAGGCCTAAATCCCAAAATGCGTAAGATAAACAGCCCCTACTACAAGCTTGCTACTCATTAACTGAAAAATGGAGGTCACATACTACTTTCATTCTAATTAGCAGGTAAAAGGGGATTTTCTGGTGGCAATAGTCACTCCATGTGAGGTTTATCTTACAGGCCAATAAATCATCAAAAAGTGATTGTTAAGAGCATATTATTAGTGTCAAAAACCTATTTATATTTTGAATCACATCATTTATTGATATTTTCCATTATTAAGAACACAGAAGCTTTGAGAAAGCACACTATAAAACCATTTTGTTGAAAACAGCAAGATATCCAACTGAGCATCAACATTTCAATGTCATTAACTTGAAACAGATCCTGCTGACATGTACTCTAAAGCTAGCAACCTTGACAGAGGGGGGAAAAAAAGCAGAATGGCAGGGAATGGTTCCAGATCAAGAATCTCTCCCTTATCAGTTAAGATGCCCATATTGAGTCTATGAAAAAAGCAAATAAAAAAGATTTTAAGGGAGAATTCCAGGTCAGAATTTATCTAGTGATTTGAAATGTTTCTCATTTTATTTACTATGTCTAATAAATGAATGATTCATAGTAGCCCAGTTAGATTAATAACTTCTTTTGATGGAGATAAACTTTTTCTTATGTTCAGTCCAACTTAGCTTGACTATTCTTCCTATTTGAAAACCCAAGTGACCTTATAAGGGATATAAAATCTTAGGGCATTCTGATCTCTCTGGAAGAATACCATTAAGCAAACAACAAAAACTTGCTGTTTGTTGCAAGAGAATTAAGTACAAGGCAACTTCTCATATTTATAGATTAGTATGTGATTGTTCTTAGGCAAAATACTACCATTGGTATTTGTATCTCTAAATCTTACAAGTAAATTTGGTTATCTTTTGAAAATACAAAAATCCTATGTTATGTTTTAAGAAAGTAGTTCATATCGGATTGCCCAACTCCACTTTGAGATCATATGGCAAAGAAAGGCCTGTACCAAAAATTATCATGTTTATGAGAACGACCGAGATTCTACGCAATACAACAGCATTCTGTAGGCCAAAAACCAGGGGAAGGGAATCAAGGAGCTAGCCATTCTATACTTGGAATAAGAGAATTCTTAAGTAGAGAGAAAATGAGCTATTAAAATGATGCTTGCCTCAAATTCTTCCTTTGTATATTAATTTATAAAAATATGAAAAATGCTACATATTAAAACCTAGAAATGGAATTTCTTAAACATAGCCAATTTCATTAAAAATCATGACAGATGTCAAAAGTCAAGAGTAGAGAATGGAAAAGTAAAAAAGAAAGTAGAACTAAAGGACTTTCTAAGTAAGGATCTCATCATTACATCCAGTAACTTAAACCAAAAGTTCATTTTATGGGATTTAAACTACCGAGATCATCATAATTTCTATAAAAAAATACTCTTGATTCTAAGCTGCCTCCCAAGCAGGACTGACACAGGTGAGTTGAAGACCAAAAAAATCATCACTGAAACACCAAATTTCTACATAATAGGAGAAGTCAATGTATTGGCTTGGTATGTTCTGTTGGTTATTTTCACTACTAAAGAACATTCTTGTCACTATTCTAAAATGTGTACCGTGCAATACTAAGTTTCATGGCAAGACAATAATTGAAATGCTAAGCAAGGAAATCAACAAAGCTGAATGTTTGTAGTACACAGCTGTCTTTAAGTAATCTTTTTATCAAGGCTTGTATTATTAAAAAATTTCCATGTTCATCAGAAGCGCTGGTTCTTCCTACTCTCATTTAATTTTATCCAAGACATTTTATTCATCAACCTGCATCCCATGATTTACTATTGAGTAGTTAAATGAAAGAGGGTCAGAGAGAGAGAGAGAATGACACAATGGAGATACACTCTATGGGATAAGAAATATTTTTAAAAGTCAGCCTAATTGGATCTGAAAAAGTTGTTTCTGCCAAAACGAAGTGTGAATTCTACAACTTACACAAATCAATTTCCTAACAATTGCTCAGCCAGTGAAGTGCTTTGTTTAAGCACACAGGTAAAACAAAATTTAACTCTGGTCAGTGAAATGTTTCGTTCTCATTAATTACATTTTAGTCATACTCAACATTGATTAGGAACACAGTATTAAGTTTTAAAATTAATGAACCGTGTTTATAAGATCGTTACTAGATCTATATATATCATACTCTCCTTTTTGGAGATTTCAGTCATCACAGTGAGGGTAGATCAAGTTATGGGCAAATGAAACCTGGACACAGAAAAAAAAGCAAAGGAACCGATTGACAAATATACTTTTAATTAGCCTAGGGATGATGATGATAAAGGGGAGAGGCTAGAAGCATAAAATTTTAGAGTGGAAAGGACTTCAGAGATAATCTAATTCAGTGGTCTGCAATCTGTGGGTTCTGAGAGTTTCTGCAAGGGGTCTGCAATTCCATATGCACATGTACATTTTCTCCATCTATGGAATTAATAATATTAATAGGTAACCCCACAATTCCCCACCCTGTCAAATTTTAAAATTACAAGTCTTTTTACTTGAACAGACTGAAAACAACGGACCTAGTCCAATTCTGTTAAGTAGTATCAGAGCTGTTACCCAAATGCACTTATGCCTATATAGGGTGCCCCTTCTGCATATCACACATGAGAAATTAAATCTTTCCTTCACTTTTCAGTTGCTAATGGCTCCTTCTGGTATTTTCCTAAGTGTCCAAGTGAGATCCTGCTAGCTAAAATCTTTAGTCCTGGGATCAGTAATCCTTTTCTACTTGGGTACTGGCTATGCCTTACTGATAAATATCATGCTCTAAGTCTAGTAGTTACAAAAGGTGGAACTAAAAAATACAGGTGAGTCAAAAGAAAATTTGAGGGACAGTGTTTGCCACTTTTCGGTTTTACTTTTTTGTGAAGACTTTCCTAACTAAAGCCTACACTATCCTTTCCCCTTTCTAAACTTCTATTGTAATTATAGCTGAGTCCCAGAAAGGTAAGCATTTTTTTGTTCTCCAGGTATCTCATGTGTAGTGTGTCTCCCCAACTGGATAACAGGTAGGAACCAGAGCTTAGATTTCAAGATATTTCCAACTTTGATTAAGGATTCAATAAATAATTGTTGACTTATAGAGTCAAGGAAGTAGAATCTTATAGAATATTTTAAAACATACATATATAGAGGGTTCAATAATCTGATACAGATGGGACATAGAAAAGATAATTGTATCTTTTCTGAAAAATGGTTAAAAAGATAATTATCCTTTCATTTATTCTTGGCAAATAATGCCACATAGTTACTTTCCTTTCACATTTTCATCAGTGCATCATTTTACAAAAGCAGTTTATAATCAGCTCCTCAAAATAATGGTGTAAATAAGAATTTATAGGCATAGCACAAATCCCACAAACTTTAAGGAAACACAACCAAATGATAATTTACAGAGCCAAACAACAGAAAGATACCCTTTTGGGCAAACTGTCATAGAAGACTACAACATGGGAGTGAAGAGAGCAGGGACTCTGGATGCCAATTTGATTTTGCCACTTACTAGCTGTGACACCCTGAACAAGTTCTCTGAACTTCAATTTCCTTCCTCATCTATAAAATGGGGGGAAATATGCATTTTGTAGAGTTCTTAGGAAGATTAAAGGAGAAAATACACATAAAGTACCTAGCACATGCTAGTTACTCAAAATGAGTTCCCTGTTCTTCCCTCATTTGGCTGTTCTTTCTCTTCTCTGGTTCCTTCCTAAGTCAAATTCAAGGCTTCCTGTCCCTTTTTCCCCACTAATTTTCACTTCAACTCCCTGTATTTGTCTCGTCACTTACTCTCAAAGTCGATCTTGTTCTTTTCCTCCCTACCTTTTAAAATCTCTTTCAAGCTGTTTTCAATACCTTTAAGGAATGACTATTTTTAACAAATCTTACTGAATTCATTTAATCTATTCAATAAAACCTCTCCTCCAAAGAGCAAAAGAATTTGCAGAGGAAATAAAACAAACAGGAGGAAGCACACTCCCTAAATGGATTAAGTTCTTGAGCAAAGCAATACTCCTTATTTACTCTTCCCAAGTAGAACAATCCATTACCCCTCCCCCATAAGCTTCTATATCAAGCCCAGGAAGATTATACTCCTGCCTTGAAAAAAAATAAAATCCTCTCCATCTCGTACTCTAAACACCTCAGCTGTATCTCAGTTGGATCACTATCTCATGCCCTAACTCTTATTGATATGCTTACTTAAATCACTTTATATATAATACTTGGTCATCTCACAGTAATCACTTTGGTTTCTCATAAATGGATATGCCAGGGCTGAGCTTATCTAAAAGAACTACATCCTATCATTAATAAACATGTTGTCTCAGGTTCTCTAGATGTTTTATAAAGAGAAGCTAGTAGGTAAAAGAATGAAACAGAGTCCTATAGGGAAAATTCTTGACTTCACATTTTTGACAGATTTGGGCTTTAGCTGTGACTTTGCTGAGAATAGAGATGGGTGCCATCATAGCACCAAAGCTGGGCATACGCTTACTTCTTACCCTGTGCCTCCCTGAATTTTTAGATTTCTGACCTCGTCTACTACCAACAATTTTTTTACCCTCTAATGCACCTTTAATAGTATATAGCTCTATTCCTCAGATAGCAAGTATATTATCCAAGTTCGGAGATACAAATGAGGAATTAACATGAAAACCATGTTTCCTCAGTAAATCTGAAGCTGCTAGATAGCCTTGAGAACCTATGAAAAAACACCAAAGTGGTATTACTCAGTCACCAATCTAAAGAGAGAACTTTGACTCAAGGTATAAATGAAATTGTAATTATATAAATATATTTATAAATATTTATACAATTATATACTTATACATAAGCACTTACACAGACTTAAAATGTAAGAACATTAATTCAAAAGGACTCACTGAAGAAGAAACAGATTTTTCCATGATTTCCTTGAGGAGATACATAACTCATTCTTTAGGAAGGGTTCCTCAAAATCCAACCGTTAGAAATATTCTCTAATTGTGTACTAGCAACGCATAAGCATCTTTTTTCTTTAATCCCCTAATTGCCAAGAGAGTGATCTTAAAGTAGATGGGAATTGAAAGGTCTCTGTGCAATAGCAATTTATGTTCCTCAAGTAGAAGAATCAATCAATCAAAATCCCCAATTGACAAAATAGGTCCATTCTATATTATGGTTTTATAACAAGTTAAAGTTCTGATTTTGCCACCAGAATCACTATTACCCCTTCAGAGGACTCTATTTAAAGCTCAAAAGAAGAACTGAGGATATCGTGAAGCTGCTAAGTCAAATTGTATTCCACAGATTCAAGATGGCTGCTTCTAAATAATACTGAAAAAAGCTTTCACCAACTACAATTTGAATGTGGCTTTTGTTGGCAGAAAATACCCACAACATCTGAAGATTACTGGTAATCTTCCCTAGCTCCCTTACTAAATGTTGTCTTATGAATTGAATTTAAAGGTCTTCCCCTTAGAGAGGCTTTCAGTTTTGATACCTTTTGCAAGAAAACAGCATGAGGAATTAAGCTCATTCAATCACCAGAGCCTTTCAGAGACTGTTCCAATCAGGGGTAAAAAAATGAATCATTTATTTCTAACCAAAGGAACATGGTGAGCAACTCTCAGCTGCATCTTTTTCTTTTTCCCCCAGGACATACATAAGTATGCCTTCAAGCACATAGGACAATCAATAACCACAGCGGTTACAACTACAAGCCATTGTACTGCATGATTATTGAACAGCTGCCTTCCTATAGATCACTTGTGGACCCAAATAATGGAAGGGCCAAAGGAACTAATATGCTGTACTGGCAAAAACACCAAGCACCTTTTCCTATTCCGGTCACACAATATACTCACTAAATGTCCATTCTGGGACTAGCAGGATCAATACAGTTTACAGAGTAATAACGAAGAAAGTCGTCTCAGGCTAGGATATTGAAAGCCACCCCATGCTACTCACTCTACATTTAACACTTATTCTGCCAATAACACATATCATGGAAATAACTCTAGCTGGGAAGAATCTTTTGAAAAAAAATTTTAAGTATGATGAGCAATAATTATAAGGGATGCTTTTTCCATATAAACAAAAGCCTGGATATTTTGTTGTGATATTTCCTACATGAACAACAAAACAAAACATGTGTTAGAGAATTTCTTCTCCCTACTAAAAATGGGGCTTACAAAAAAGGGAGGTTGTTCATATTCTGAATCTAGCCATTCCTTTACCAAAGGAGTCGGAGGAGTAACATTATTTGATCCCGAAAAAGTGCTGTGCAAGAGACCACTTATTGGAACACACATTTCCTGCTGCCAGTACTAGGAGGTCTTATCCTTACACTTCCATTTGGTCACCAGATTGGGTAAGAAAGAAAGAAAGAAAAGTAGGAAAAAGAAGAAAACAGAAGAGGAGAGAAAAAAAGGAGGGGAGGAGAAGAGAGCAAGAAATAAGAGAAGGCAGGTGACTCGCTTGCCCAACTTTGGCTCTATGGTCCTATGAGCCAAAATGCATACTCAGTGACATGGTATCTCACAGGAAAAGGGAAAAAAAGGGTAAGCTGAGAGAGGTCAGGCCATGATGTTAATTTCTTTCCTGTACAAAGACAGTCTCTTGAGGACAAAGGCCTGCCTCTTGTAATGTAATGTCATAGTCCAGATGAGAGAGTTTCCTTCGGGGGAAGTTGGTGAGAAGTTCAAAACGTTCATTTGGATATCCTTTAGACTGGACATGTTTCACCAAAGCCTATAAAAATAAAAGAAAGATAAGGCTGTTAGATGGAAATAAAAATAAAAAGCATATTAAAGAATTAAATATATAACATTCATTTTTATCTTATCAGATGAGATATGAAGTTTAAGTTATTCTGTCAGATAATCGAAACTTACCCTTGTGGAAGGGCCGATCTAATCCTTTAAATGGGAAGATAATAAACCTGTATCCAGTAATTCAGGGCCATTAAATGACACTGAAATATACAGAATTTTTACTGTCTCCTCAATAAACAAACCCAATTTCTATTTATAAAATTAGTGTCCTCATTTTTAAACATTTTATCAGGGAAGATATGGCCTTCATTCTACTTATAGGCAATCTTGCCACCTGTGCACTAAATCTCTTCTTGCCTTCTCAGAAACCATGCCCCCAAAGAATATCCCCTCTTTTATAGTTACCTTTAAACATCTCCCTCTCTACAGACGCTTCCCATCATACTTAAACATGCTCAGTCTCTCCTTCAATCATCTTTTTTCCCTCTGATTACTGCCTACTCCCTCCTCTAGCTTCACAACCAAACTTCTCGAAAAAGTGGTCTCTAATTGCTCCATCCATTATCTCATCTCCCAATCCCTTCCAAATACTAGACCTGAGAGAAAGTCTTGGTATTAGCACCAGCAGCCAGATCTTACTTGCATTCCAGTTACATGGTCTTCAAGAATCAGACTAATTATTCCCAGCTGCGCAAATGGCCAAGTATGGAATCCTGACCCAAGGAGGATTCATTCATAGGCTACGTTAAGCTAGTCAGACTCATTCTCTTTTTCAGGAGTTGAAAAACACAGAAGAAAGGCCCATCAGCTGTGGACTTTAGAGAAAAAGGCCCTCAGCATCATTTATGATGGACCATGTACAAGCTGAGAGGTAAACAAAAGCCACTAGTATATAGAGAGAAGAATGGTGTGAAGCAGAGAATCACTAGAGGAAAACCAAACAAGCCCCAGGAGAGAAACACAGAGAAAAATAGCCTTGGTTCTTAACCTCTTTACAGTTCCAGCTACTAGGAAAGCCAGCAACCCCACGACAGTCTTCAAATAAACTTACTACCCTTTTCCAGGTAATAATTTCAGTTGAGTTTCTATTCCATGCAGCCATGGAATAGAAAAGCTTTGACTGGAATAGACCCTATGTGACTTGCCTAACATAATAAAGGAAGAGAATAAAGTAATTAGAATTAAGATTCACCAAAGTTAAGTTTCCAGTTAGAGGTCAGATTGAATACCTAACACCTGTTTTAAAGAATCATCAAGCCAATAATTACCCTAATTAATTAGTTTCTCTGCTTCAAGCAAACACTTCCAATTAGATATACTTACTAGCAGTTTAGCTTGCTCTGGAAGAGTGATCTGTTCCCTTTTTCCATCTGGATACCGCAACATCAGCTGTGCTTTTGGTCCTAAAGGAAGGGTTAAAAAAAAAAAAAGACACAGGAGCTTAAGATAGAAGACTAATTTAAACAAATAAATACATTCCTTCAGTAACATTCAAGTGTTAAGTCAAGCAAGTATAGACTACAACTCACCATTTACATCTATGCCCTCCACTATTCCATCTGATTTTTCAGGTGACATCTCCAATATTTCTGAATCCACAGCTACCAATCCTTGATGGTTTGTGGCTGTGCCAGGCTCAGTTCTGGCTGCAGGTTCAGTTAGTGGCCTTCTGTTTTCCTCTTTTCTATGCCCCAAATCTTTGTGGGGAGACTTTCTGGACTTGGCAAGATTCTCTACCTCCTCTTCTTCATCAGAGCCACAAACAGATATGAACTCCTCACTGCCAGAAAAAAGTTCAGATTCAGATTCTTCATCTGAGCGGCTATCCTGCTTTGTCTGTGTTGAATCAAAATGTGTCTCTTGCAAGGAGGCTCTGATGGCAGCTTCTAGCTGGCTATCTTCACTTGCATCTATAAGGCTCTCCTGCGAGATGCAGTCATAAAACACGGGTGGAAAGAAAAGGAAAACAGTTAAACCAAAAAATAGATAGTCGAGTCAAACAGGGCATAAGAAACATAGTCAGTTTGCCATTATTATTTTCTGCTGAATTTATCTCTTCTACTAAATTTTAAGCTATCTGAGGCCAACAACTTTGTCTTACACAGCCAAGTTGGAAGGGAGAGTTTGAAAATTGTCATACCACCTGGCATAATAATGTTGCAAGCATAGGGTTTTTTTTTCTCTCAAAATGAATAAAGTCAAGAAAACAGTTTATTCTCTGCCCAGAAAAAGACAAGAATTAAGGTTTTAAATATAAAGCCAAAACATTAGTCTTTAAAATGACTAAACATAGAGAAGCACGTCTACTTTGCTCACCACTGTAGTCTTCAACTAGTACTGCTTTGGTACATAGAAGGATATCAATAAATAAATCAGTAATTATGATTTTGCAAAAAATCTAAAAGTCAGAACTCTAACATTCAAAACCAAACAGAATACCAATAATCAATAGGGAAAAATAACAACTATATTTTCCCAAGCTTAATTACAATGGTTTTCATTGTGATCATGAAAAAAGCAAATTTCAATAGTTTGCCCCTTGGTAAAGTTCTAATGTAACAGATTTCAATAAACTTACTGAGTCACAAAATATGGGTTGTTTGAGTGGAATTTATTTAGATCCTTTATCAAACAAACTATACAAAAACAAATTGAAAGATAACCAAAAGCTGAACACTGGCTATCTCATGATATTAAGGAATTGCTGTTAATTTTTTAAGGGTGTGTTAATAGTATTACGATGGTGTTTTCAAAAAATAAAAAGAGGGCCTGGCCCCATGGTTGAGTGGTTCAAGTTCCGCACCTTCCGCTTCAGTAGCCCAGAGTTCGCAGCTTTGGATCCCGGGCGTGGACCCGCTCCACCCACCAGCCACACTCTGGCAGTGTCCCACACAGGAAAAAAAAAAAAAAAAAAAACCATAGAAGAAGCTTGGCACAGACGTTAGCTCAGCGCTAATCTTCCTCAAGTGAAAAAAGGAAGACTGGCAACAGATGTTAGCTCAGAGTGAATCTTCCTCACCAAAAATAATAAATAAAATAAAAAGAGCCTTTATCTTTTAAACATACATGCCAAAGTATTAATGAATGAAACCATGAACTCTGAGATTTGCTTCAAAATAATGGGAACAGGGTGGGGTAGAGATAAAACAAGACTGGCCGCACGTTGAAAACTAGTGAATTAGTTAATAGATACATAGAGGCTCAATAAATTCCTTCTACTTTTGAATACGCTTAAAAATTTCCACAATAAAAAGGTAAAAGTTGTATGGATTGCTAACAAAATATTAAAGGAAGCTCATTTTGGCTTTCACTCTCTGTCAATGACACAGCAAAAAATTAAAGAAAAAAATTTAACTAAACATGGGGCCGGCCCAGTGGCACAGCAGTTAAGTGCACATGCTCCGCTTCGGCGGCCCAGGGTTCACAGGTTCGGATCCCGGGCACAGACTGATGCACCACTTCAAGCCATGCTGTGGTGGGGTCCCATATAGAGTGGAGGAAGATGGGCACGGATGTTAGCCCAGGGCCAGTCTTCCTCAGCAAAAAAGAGGAAGATTGGCATCGGATGTTAGCTCAGGGCTGATCTTCCTTGCAAAAAAAAAGAAATTTAACTAAACTTAAGGCGAATTTATCACCAAAGAAAAGCAAGTAGATGTCCCCATGTGACCTGTAATGGCTTAAATCAACTGTAGGTTTATAATAATGACATTGCACAGCACGTTGCTTGATTATTTAAAGACTGTCACTCTGTCAGACACTGCTGGCTTCCTATCCAATATCCATTCTCCTCTGATTCAGTATTTACAGAATCCTAATCATGTCTTTAAAAAAAAACATGTCAAGCTAAAAAATTCCATTTACCAGTTTTCCTTGCAGCTAGAAAACATTTGTGGCATAAAGCTAAAGAAGCACTTACAGAGAAATTATAGAACTAAATGCCTATATTAGAAAAGAAAAGTCTCAAATTAATCATGAAGTTTACATCTTAAATAAAAAAGTATCCATATAGAAAAAGAAAATAAAGGTAAACCCAACTACACAGAAGGAAAAAGAGAAAGGACAGAAATGAATTAATAACCTAGAAAAGAGAAGAAAAATCAATGAAACCAAAAGCTGGTTCTTTAAAATCAATAAAACTGATAAGCCTCTAGCCAGACTGTCAGGAAAAAAGAAACCACAAATTACCCAATAACAGGATCAAGAGAGGGGACAACACTACAAACTCTATAATCATTAAACAAATAACAAGGAAATATAATGAACAAGTTTATGTCAATATATTTGACCCCTTAGGTAAAATGGACAAATCCCTAGAAAGACACAACCTACTAAAAGCTCATTAAGGAAGAAACAGATACCTGAGTAGTCCTATATCTATTAATAAAATTGATTTGTAGTTTAAAACTTCCCACAAAGAAAACTCTAGGCCCAGGTGGCTTCACTGGTGAATGTCATCAAATATTAAGGAAGAAATAATATCAATCCTACAGAAACTCTTCCAGAAAACAGAAGAGGAGGAAACACTTCCCAATTCATTGTGAAGCCAACATTAACTTGATACCAAGACCAGACAAAGACATTAAAAGATATCACAAGGAAAACAAAATATAAAAAACTACAAACCAGTACCTCTCATAAATATAGACAAAAATTCTTGACAAAATTTTAGCAAATCAAACCCAAAAATATATAAAAAGAAGTAATGCACTATAACCAAGTGGGTTTTAGCCTAGGAATGCAAGGTTGGTTTAACATTAAAAAATCAACCAACGGGGCCGGCCTGGTGGCACAGCGGTTAAGTGCACATGCTCTGCTGTGGCAGCCCGGGGTTCACAGGTTCAGATCCCAGGTGCGCACTGACACACCGCTTGTTAAGCCATGCTGTGGTGGCGTCGCATATAAAGTAGAAGAAGACGGGCACGGATGTTGGCCCACGGCCAATCTTCCTCAAGAAAAAAGGGGAGGATTTGGCATCGGATGTTAGCTCAGGGCTAGTCCTCCTTGAAAAAAAAAAAAAAAAAATCAACCAATGGAATTCACTAAAAAAGAAAATCATTTGATCCTCTCAATAGATGTAAAAAATCCCCTCACAATAAAAACTCAGCATAGAAGGAACTCAGAATAGAAGGAAACTTCCTCAGCCTGATAAAGTGTATCTATAAGAAACATGCAGCTAACATCAAACTTAACGGTGAAAGACTGAATACCTTCACCCCAATACCAGAAACAAGTTGAGACCTGCCTAATCTCATTACTTCTATTTAACTTCGTATTGGAGTTGCTAGCTACGAAAAAGAAATAAAAGGCATAGAGATTAGAAAGGAAGAAGTAAAATAAATCTTTGTTGACAACATGATCGTCTACGTAGAAATTCTAAGAAACCTACAAAAAAGCTACTGGAACTAACAAGTGAGTTTTAGCAAGACTGCAGGCTACAAGGTCAATATACAAAAACTACAAAACATTGCTGAGAGAAATTCAAGACAAATAAATGGAGGGGCTGCAGGGCTGGCCCCGTGGCTTGGCAGTTAAGTGCGCGCGCTCCGCTGCTGGCGGCCCGGGTTGGGATCCCGGGCACGCACCTACACACCGCTTCTCCGGCCATGCTGAGGCCGCAACCCACATGCAGCAACTAGAAGGATGTGCAGCTGTGACATACAACTATCTACTGGGGCTTTGGGGGGAAAAAATAAATAAATAAAATTATTAAAAAAAAAAAAAAATGGAGGGGCTGGCCAGGTGGCATAAGCAGTTAAGTGTGCGTGCTCCACTTCGGTGGCCCGGGGTTCGTAGGTTCAGATCCCAGGCGTGCACCGACACGCTGCTTGTCACGCCATGCTGTGGCAGCATCCCACATAAAGAAGAGGAAGATGGGCACAGATGTTAGCTCAGGGCCAATCTTCCTCGGCAAAAAAAGAGGAGGATCAGCATCAGATGTTAGCTCAGGGCTGATCTTCCTCACAAATAAATAAATAAATAAATAAATGGAGATATATATGCCATGTTCATGGATCTGAAGACTCAATATTGTTAAGATGTTAATTCTCTCCAAAATGATCCATAAAGCTAATACAATTCTAATAAAAGTCCCAGAAGCTTTCTTGGTAGAAAGTGAAAAGCTGATTCTAAAACTTATATGAAAATGCAAAGGACCTGAAATAACGAAAACAACTATAAAGATAAGAACAAAGTTAGAGGATTTACACCATGTGATTTCACACTACTTATAAAGCTACAGTAATCATTAAGACAGTGAAATATTGGTCTAAAGACAGACATATCAATCACTGGAAAGAACAGAATCCATAAACCCACATATATATGAATAATTTTTGACAAAGGAGCAAAGGCAATTCAATGGAGAAAGGATAATCTTTTCAACAAATGGTGCTGGAACAAGTGTATAGCCATATGCAAACAAAAAAACCCAACTTGACCCTATCTTAATATCATATACAAAAATTAATTCAAAGTGGATCACTGACTTAAGAGTTAAAACTATAAAAAAAATATGAGAGAACATCTTGGGTTAGGCTAAGATTTCTTAGGTAAGACACAAAAAGTACAAAGTATAAAAGAAAAGCTGACAAATTGGATTGCATCAAAATTTTAAAATTTGCTCTTCAAAAGACACTATTAGGAAATGAATAAGCATGCAACAGACTGGGAGAAAATATCTGCAAACCATATATCCAACAAAGAACTTATATCCAGAATATAAAAAGAAACTTACAATTCAATAAGAAGATATACAACCCAATAAAAAAAGGAGCCCGAGATCTAAATAGACACTTCACCAGAACAGATAGACAGCAAAAAAGTATATGAAAAGATGCTCATATCAAAACTTGTCAAACTGTAAATTTAAATGTGCTCAGTTTATTGCACATTAATTATACTTTAATAAAGCTATAAAATTTTTAAAAATAAAATAAACATAAGGCTAATTTATCAGATACAAAAAAAGCAAACAGATGTGCCTACATGACATGCAATGGCTTCGACGGACTGACTGCAGATAATACATAGTGTACCATGTAGGTTGATTTTAAAGCACGACACTATGATGGACACTGCTAGTTTCCTACCTCACATCCAGTCTTCTTTGCTTCCTTATTAGTAAACCTCAATTGTGTTTGTGCAAGAAAATGTGTCCAACTAAAATAAGCAGAATTCTTATCTGTGTAAAATAAGCAGAATTCTTATCTGTGGCTAACTGTTTACCTTTGTAATAGGGCACCACTCCACTCCTCCTTGTCTATGCCTGGACACGATACCTGGGAGTGCAGAATCTATACTGTGACCACAAGGACAAAAGCCAATACTAAGGATGGAGGGGGTGAAAAAAAAGAGGAGGAACGTGGTTCCTTGATAGCGTACACAGCACTCAAGCCCTAGACTGCTTGACTCTGGACTTCCTGTTGAGGAAAGTAGACATCTTCCTCGTTTAAGCCATTAATTGTTGGTGTTTCTCTTGCACATAGTTGATCAAAATTTGTAACACTAAGAGAATTCAGTATCAGAAGTGGGGTCTAAGGTACCAGTCACCTAAACCATCCCTATGTATTGGTCCAATTTTATGGTCCCACTCTTTCCCACTAAGTGCCTTAACTTTTATAAGAGACTTGGTGAGGTTGTAAACTCAATTTAGGTTGTAATTCAGAAACTCACAAGCTCAGGCTCTGGTTTGTGACAAGATCAGCCTTAAAACTGCAAAGATAAGAAACTCTCTTAGGTCAATTATAGAAACTCTCCGGGTTTTTTAATGCCTTAAAAAAGAATTCTAGGGCCGGCCTGGTGGCGCAGTGGTTAAGTTCCCGTGCCCTGCTTTGGCGGCCCGGAGTTCGCAGGTTCGGATCCCGGGTGCACACTGATGCACCGCTTGTCAAGCCATGCTGTGGTGGTGTCCCATATAAAGTAGAGGAAGATGGGCACAGATGCTAGCCTAGGGCCAATCTTCCTCAGCAAAAAGAGGAGGATTGGCAATGGATGTTAGCTCAGGGCTAATCTTCCTCAAAAAAAAAAAAAAAAGAATTCTAAGTAAAACTTCTCTTAGCAATGAAAAAAAAAAACTGTGTCTATAGATAAAGGTAAAACAATGTTTTAGTTGTCCACCCAAATAAAACTTCTCTGAGTAATGGAAAAAAAGAATCCTATACCACCCCTTGGCAAGCACAGCCTTTCCTTAAATGGGTACTTTATTCTAGGTGATAACTTAATAACTAGGTGTTTCATCACTGCATGATATGGCCTGCTAAAGTCATATCTTCTAAAACTAATTTTATCCTCACTGCCATCAAACCCAAACAGCTCCTACCACCAATGTGAGATTCCCATATCTTTGAAGGTCTCTTACTTGCAACTAATCTTGATACCAGTTATCAAATAGGTCTGCCTAGTAATAACATGTTATAGAAATTAAGTATAGAAATAATTTCTGGGTGGGCCAGAGAGCCAGGCCCTATAAAGCTATCTAACCAGTAATAATGCCAACTATACCATGAGAGTTGTTCTAGCAAAAATATCATTTTCACTGCTGCTTAGATCTGGATACCAAAAGCCCCAGAAGAAGTGGATTCCTCTGGTACTGGCTTGCCAGATCAGTCCTCCTGCTCACTGCTACACATTCACATTGCTTACTTCTAAATCCAGTCTTAGGTCACATGCCTGTACCTTAGCTGTAAGGGAGACTGGGAATATGAATCCTATAATTTCCTTAAGAAGACAGAACCCTTATGGGGAAATTATCAGAATATAAGGAGGGCGTCTAAGACGTTGTACAGCCACAAATTATAACTGTCCACTACTTACATTATTATCTTTACCATCTTAACCTCAAACATTTTACACAAGACACTTATATACAATTATACTTAATTGCCCATCACCACTTTTTAGCCATACTTACTGAACGGGCACATTTTTTGGGGGGACTGCTAGAAAGTCCATCCAGTTGCCCATGTTCACCCAGAAATCCTGTCACTTGGTCCAAGAAAGAAGATACATCTAACTGGTGCCACTCTACTAGCTTCTGACCTAAAGATTAAAAACCAGTATATATAAATATGATGAAATCCACACTCTTTCTGAACATTCTCATTAAGTATTTCTTTTGGCATATGAATAATTAAAATTTACTGGGAACACATATCCCCACCCCTCACCAACTTAAGTTATATAGTGCCTTCATAGCCTAGAGGATACATTAATTACAACCACCTAAGAGATTCCCAACCATCAAGACAGGGCAACTACTTTATCTGCTGATATCACTTATTGCCATTTAGGAAGAAGAGATTCAGATAAAGCAATATCTATATAAAACTCAATCAATTAGTAATAAAACCAACTCTACCCTCTGCTTTTCTGGTGGGATTACAACCAGCACTTGAACAATCTTAATATTTTAACGACAGAAAACCTAAAGGGACCCCTTATAAAATAACAAGAAAGATAAGCAATTGTCTTTTTTAAAGAGAACTGCACAAATATAAAATACTACCATCTCCCAAAGTTGTCAGAAACAGACTCCCTAAATACACACTTCAATAGATGTTTAAATAATTCTAAAGGGCATGAACGAGAACCCTTCACCTAAATTATTACAAACAATTCTGAAACTGGATTCAGTCAAATACTAAAAGTCAATTATTTAGGTAACTGAAAGACAGAAGATAGGTTAAAGGTTGTAAGCTGATATAAATCTTACCTGTCCGTGGATCCAAGATGGAAACATAGGGGAAATCCCCTAGCTTATAAAACTGTATGTATCTCTGACCTTCCTCACTGTCATGATAAACCTGTTAAATCATTGATATTAAAAAAAAGAAGTCAGCCTCTAAAAAAAGTACCAACTATATCCTTGTTATATACCAACAGCAATTAATGCTCCAAATGTACTTTTGGTATATGTTAGGATCTCATTCCTACATTAAAGAGAAAACGAAGGTTATCTGGTGTGAACTCCCTCGACCTCCTGCCCTCAGTTCCTTCTGGAAACTTGCATAAACATATCAATCCATTCTTCCTCCCTTCCCAGTTCGGAAGAGGTATTATTCTTCCTGTTCACGTTTCTGTCCACCTATGTCATTCCTCACTCTCAACCATATACATCTTTATAAATCACAAGATATTAAGATTATAAGCTGGAGTGCTGGAGTGCCTAGCATAGTGCCTGGCAATGAGATGTTCAATCAATAGTTGCTGAATAAAAGGTTACCATTCAGAAAAAAATCATATTGAATTTAGGGGCCTGTAAGACACGAAAAGGCAAATTATTAACAATAATAGCACCTCCTGTAATGGGAAAAAAATTAAGTTCATTCAGAAGTTTTTATTTTCTATTAATTTTTTATAATTTTTTAAAAAATAAGAAATTATGGGCCGGCCGTGGCTTAGCGGTTAAGTGCACGCACTCCGCTGCTGGCGGCCCGGGTTCGGATCCCGGGCGCGCACAGATGCACCGCTTCTCCGGCCTCGGCCGTGTCCCACATGCAGCAACTAGAAGGATGTGCAGCTATGACATACAACTATCTACTGGGGCTTTGGGGGGAAAAAATAAATAAATAAATAAATAAATCTTTAAAAAAAAAAAATAAGAAATTAGAGCAAGATCATCTAACCTTAGCTAGATAATTTACTGTCACGTGTCCCTTAACAAAGGGGATACATTCTGAGAAATGTGCCGTCAGGCGATTTCATCGTTTTGCAAACATCACAGAGTGTACTTACACAAACCTAGACAGTATAGCCTGCTACACACCTAGGCTATATGGTACTAATCTTATGGGACCACCATCGTATATGCGGTCCATCATGGACTGAAACGTTGTTATGTGGCGTGTAACTGTGTATAAAAAGAAACTAGAGGAGCAAGACTAAGTGACACGTCTAAGAACATATAGTTAAAGAGTATCAAACTCAAACTAAAATCTAAGTCTTAGTCAGATGTTTCCCCATTACTCCAAGATCATCTTCATCCACAGTGTCAATTATAGTAGCCATCAGAAGATGTGCTATTGGGCCGGCCCCGTGGCGTAGCGGTTAAGTGTGCGTGTTCCACTGCTGGCGGCCTGGGTTCGGATCCCGACACGCACCGATGCACCGCTTGTCAGGCCATGCTGTGGCGGTGTCCCATATAAAGTGGAGGAAGATGGGCACGGATATTAGCTCAGGGCCAGTCTTCCTCAGCAAAACGAGGAGGATTAGCATGGATGTTAGCTCAGGGCTGATCTTCCTCACAAAAATAAATAAATTAATTAATTAATTAATTAAAAAAAAGAAGATGTGCTATTGAAGCATTTGAAATGTGGCTAGTCTGAACTGAGCTGTACTGTTAAGTGTAAAATACACACCAGATCTTGAAGACTTAACACACATAAAAAAATCAAAACATCTTGTTAGTATTTAAATATTAGCTTATATTAGGTATATTGACTAAAAATATATTAAAATTAGTGGGCCGGCCCTGTGGCCAAGTGGTTAAAGTTTCACGCCCTCCACTTTGGTGGCCCAGGTTCACCAGTTCGGATCCCAGGTGCAAACCTACTCCGCTCATCAGCCATGCTGTGGAGGCATCCCACATGCAAAACAGAGGAGGACTGGCACGGATGTTAGCTCAGGGCTAATCTTCCTCAAGCAAAAAAAAAAAGAGAGAGGAAGATTCCCAACAGATGTTAACTCAGGGCAAATCTTCCTCACCAAAAAAAAAAAAAAATTAAAATTAATTGCATCCGTTTCTTTTGACCCTTATAATTTGTGGCTACTAAAAATCTTAAATTACATATGTGGCTCACATTATATTTCTCTTTGAACAGTACAGTTGTATAGTCTATCAAGACATTTAAATTATTCTGAGATATGAATATTATATGGTTTACATGGCTTGGTTCCTCTTTTCCCCTCCTTCCCTTGGGAGTTCTCATTGCTGCCTTAACTTTCACCTGTCCTTACTATTCCAGCCATTATAGGTGGTTTTACTGTTTCATATGTCATAATTTAACTCAGTTACTAATTTTTTTTTCAGTTTAAACCTAATTCCTCCTCCCCAGCATTCCATATACAAAAATTTTGATTAACTCTCCTCACCTGCCAGAAAATGAAATGTTCCCGGATAATATTCTTCACAGCTTCATTGCTCCATACATCACGGTTGAGGCACTGGCATGCAAAGTCTTGTACATTTTGAATGTTTATCATCAGCCACTTATTCTGCATTTGGCCACACTCTTTGGCCTATAAAAGTAAAGTTACACAATATTTGTTAGAAAAAATTTCTACTTGGTAACTGATATGTTTCAGAATTCAGAAGCTGTCCTCTTTTCATTTTACTAAGTTTTTTTTCTCAAGTATGATATCTAGAGTTTTCAGTATCTATACATTATTTACATTAATTTGCATATGTGTATATAATTATACTGTCCATTTTCAAGCATTTTTCAAATTTAAATAAACTGTTTTTCTTTTATTCACTGTTACCTGTTATAATGGCTAGATTTTCACTGTACATTTAAACATGTTTATCTGAAAATGATTCCACAAACAAGGTCAACAAGTCACATAATCCTATCGTATTGTCTCGTCCAATCCCTCTCTACAAATATACCTCTCCTTTTTAGCAGATGTAACCAGTATGTGTATATTACTTTATGTTGTTTTGTTTTCTTCAACATCATTTTCTATACACATTTCTAAATATAATATAATTAGGCATGTACTGTTTTACAGAATCACCCTCAACATTTCAGTACAAGCTGCTGAGGGCTTTTTGTTTCAGGGTTGTTTTCCTAGGAGCAGATTTCAAAAAATGAGATTACATGATCAAAGAATGTTTCAGAATGATCTCCAAAAGACTCCCCAATTTATAGCACAATATCAATCATGAGTGTGTACTTTTTGCCTCACAGTTCCTCATTACCATAAACATCTAAGAAATCTTGTTGAATAAGAAAAGAATGGCAAAAAAGTATATGAGCAAATGCTGCCTCAAATTTTTGCTTAAGAACAACGAAAAAAGCCATAGTTTTGAATAATTTTGTCCTGGAATAATATTCTTTCCTAATCAGTTTGACATGGGAAAATCTTAAGAACCAAGTAACTCGTTATAACTACTGAAGAACAAGTATCATTTTGGAGGTATTGGAAAATATAAGACTAAGAATATCTTCTGTTTTAACAAGGATTACACAATCTTACAAATACTGTTATCCTATTTTTGGTTTGAATCCCCCAGAGGAAATCATTTTCTAATACTCACTACTGATTCCACAGGTGAAATTCTAAAAGGAAGTATCCCTGTATGGAGCCAGGAAGCTGTATTTAACTGGTCAAATGCTTATTTTAAAGTATACAAATATAAGAAAATAACTCCTTGCTCCTAGGAAGTAACAGTGTTCCACTTACTTCCTTAGCTATAGCATGCACACAGATTTAATAAATGGGTGATAAATGAGTAATAATACTGCTTTAACTGAAAAAAGTATTTGAGAGTAAAGAAAAAAATTAACACACATTCTAGAGAGACAGATTGGAGAGTATATGACCCGAAACAGGGTAAGTCTGCCTCAACTACAACACTGACAAGAAAAAATATGTATAACACTTAAAGTCCAGAGTTTAAAAACGATGGAGAGTCATTTGCTTTTGTTTGTAAAAATTCATTTATTCACATTCATGCTTTCATTAATTCAGATTCATTCATTCAACAAATACTTATTGAGTACCTACCATGTTTCAGGTACAGTTATAGATGCTGGAGTTATAGCAGTTACCAAAACACAAAAACCCCTGCCTTCATGAAGCTTACATTGAGGAGACCTTATACCAGCAAAAGAAACTGAAGCTGCTGTTAAGAAATTATGTTAAAAGGAAGTGCCCAAAGAAGACATGAATTTCATGGAAAGCAACAATGTTTGGAGAGAATATAAGAAAGCTTTAGAAAAACTTTATCTTATATATTTTGCAGTGAATCACTTCTTTACATTTTTAGCTAAAATATTTTTACTTGCATTTATAGCAAGTACTTTTGAAATTAACACAGTATTTTAACTGAATGGCAACTTTAACAAATAAACATGCATTTCTTATGAAAACAAGATATATTACGGAAATTGTTCTAATTCTTTCCATATAATATACTCCACATTATGCCATTCAATTATTTAACAACAATTTAATGAAGGTTAATTATGTGCCTGAAATTCTTCTAGGCACCGTGGACACACAACAGTAAATAAACAAAGTCCTTGTGTTCATGGACTTATAGGCTAGTGGGGAAAGAAGAAAACTTAAGAAATGTTCCCTCGCCCAGGTCAGATCATTCATCTTAAGTGCCTTGCTCACTCAGTTCCAGCTACACTGGTTTTCTTGGCTACACCAGAAATACGCCAAGCTCTTTCCAACATCGGTATCTTTACCCTTACTGTTTTATCTGTTCTTCCCTTGGACCTTTCTATGGATCACTTTTCCTCACTTCATTTAGATTTCTACCCAAATCTAATCCTTTCAGAATCTTCCCTGATCTTCCTATGGAAAATAGTCCTCTCTCCTCACAATTACAAACATATGTGAAACCTACAAAATCAATCTTGCTTTCAATTTGCGTGTGAAGAACACCTGCACCTTAATGGCCCAAAGCAAACACAAAATAGCCCTCTCGTTAATCTCCATAATATATAAAGAACTCACACAACTGAACAACAAAAAAACAAACAACCTTCTCAAAGAGTGGGCAGAGGAAATGAACAGACACTTCTCCAAAGAAGATATACAGATGGCCAATAGGCACATGAAAAGATGTTCAACGTCACTAATCATCAGGGAAATGCAAATCAAAACAACACTAAGATATCACCTCACGCCCGTGAGAATGGCTATAATCACCAAGACAAAAAGCAACAAATGTTGGAGAGGATGTGGAGAAACAGGAACCCTCATACACAGCTGGTGGGAAGGCAAACTGGTGCAGCCTCTATGGAAAACGGTATGGAGATTCCTCAAAGAATTAAAAATAGAAATACCCTATGATCCAGCTATCCCACTACTGGGAATCTATCCAACGAACCTGAAATCAACTATCCAAAGAGGCTTATGCACCCCTATGTTCACTGCAGCATTATTCACTATAGCCAAGAAGTGGAAGCAACCCAAGTGTCCCTCAACCGATGATTGGATCTAGAAGATGCGGTATATATATACAATGGAATACTAAGCCATAAAAAAAGACAAAATCGTCCCGTTTGCAACAACATGGATGGGCCTGGAGGGTATTATATTAAGTGAAATAAGCCAGAAAGAGAAAGACAAACACTGTATGATCTCACTCATATGTGGAATATAAACCAACACATGGACAGAGAAAACTGTATTGTGGTTACCAGGGGCAATGAGGGTAGAGGGTGGGCACAAGGGGTGAAGGAAGACATATATATGGTGATGGACAAACAAAAATGTACAACCAAAAATTTCACAATGTTATAAACTATTAAAACATCAATTAAAAAAAGGAAGAAAAATCAAAAAAAAAAAAATAGCCTTCTCTCCTTTTCTTATTCTATTTTATTCTTTCACCTGGCAACTACTGTAACCTGAAATTACGCTCACACTCTCTTTGTCAAACATATATAAAATACACATACACTAAATATATATATTATATATACACACATTTTTGTTTTTGTTTTTTATTGTTTCTAGTCTACTTGTCCCTCTAGACTATAAATTCTTTGATGGCAAGGACTTTGTATAATTTGTTAACCACTATCTCCCTGTGGCAGAAACTGCTTATAGGTACCAAATACCTGTTTTACCCTTCTCCTTCTTAGTAAAAGAACCTCCTCCAATTTTTTAGCTAAGCATCTGGACTTCCTACTGTTCTTTGCAGCAAGGCATGGCCATGTTGCAAAGTTCTGGTCAATGGGATGTGAGCAGAAGTGATGTATACAACTTCTAGGTTGTGCCTTTAAAGGGAAAATGTACACCCTTCTCAGCCCCTTCCCTCCTTCATGCTGGCTGGAAAGCAAACATGGTGGTAAGCCATCTTGAATCATGTGGACAACGGCAAGCAAGACCTAGGGATAGCATAACAAGACAGAAAAAAACTGCACTCTTAATAGCTTCATATAGCAGAACCATCCTAACAGCCTGAACTTCTATCTTGTTAAAGCTACTGTTTACTTTCTCCCTGGTCTCTCTCACATGCAGTCAAATCTTTATCCCACAAGTATAATCCCCATCACCTAGAACAAGGCCTTGCAATAGGAAGTCTCGATAAATATTTATTGAAAGAACAAGTGAATTAATCAGTCTCTCATTTGGTTAGCATGAACCAGAACCCTTGACCATAGTCCACCTGTAGTTACACTAAGAAAGTCTAGTTTCTAAACCTGTGAAACCGTGACTCATATCTACATCTAATAAGGTGCCCAAACCTATGGGCCCTGCCTGAGCAACCAAAGAGCGTCCCTCTAATTTTTAACATTTACCTCTCTAAGCTTCAATGACTTAAATTTTTTTGTGTGTGTGTGAGGAAGATTAGCCCTGAGCTAACATCCACTGACAATCCTCCTCTTTTTGCTGAGGAAGATTGGCTCTGGGCTAACATCCATGCCCATCTTCCTCAACTTTATATGGGACGCCACCACAGCATTGCTTGACAAGTAGTGCGTCGGTCCGTGCCCGGGATCCGAACCTGTGAACCCCGGGCTGCCAAAGCAGAGTGCACGAACTTAACCACTATGCCACTGGGCCAGCCCCTTCGATGACTTAACTTTAACTATTACCTCCCTAATTTTTATAAAGCTAATGGATATATCACTAGTCATAATGAAATGTCTTTTTCTGGGAGCGTTTATGCCATTTAGAGACTTGTAAATGATAAAGTTTAGTATTAGTGAAAACATGAATAGATTGTTACAAACAAGATAGGTCATGAAATACAAAGAAAAAAAGATGATATAACTTAACAAAATGAATCAAACTTCAGACGACAATATCAAAAAAGATTCACATTTTCCCCCAATGAACAAGCAGCAGAGAAACTGCTTTTTATGGTCCCAAAGTGACCAAATTAAATCAAGCTCAGAGTTATTTCATTGCACCCTAGAGCAACTCAGAAGCTAATAAAAATGCAAAACATGTCAAAACAAACTCAGATCATTTTTGTCTTTCATATTGCTGCTATTCTCTCTCAGTGGCTGCATCATCACCAGAACACTAGCAAGGACAGGCAGACAAACTGCATGGAAACTAAAAAGGATAGGCAGCTGCCATATTAAGTTCACGAGGGAAAGATGAAGAAAACTGAGGAGACGTCTGATCTGCCATCTTTGAGCTGCTGATTGAACTCCAGAGACTAGCTCAACTCAAGACTTATTTACACGACAAAAAGAAACCCTTGTTTGCTCAAATCACCATAATTTGGATTTTCTGTTACATGCAGCCAAACACTTTCAAGCTTTACAATTCATAAAATTAAAACTGAAGAACAAGCTTACAGTTAAATTTCTTATCCTAAATATTTCATTTAGGTAGTACAAGAGTATGTCAAAGGACAAAATTTTTAAAAAACAATCATAACTCACTTCCAAATAGTTATGCATTGCTTAACAACAGGGATACTTTCTGAGAAATGTGTTGTTAGGTGATTTCTTCATTGTGCAAACATCACAGAGTGTACTTACACTAACCTAGATGGTATAGCCTACTACACACCTAGGCTCTATGGTACTAATCTTATGGGACCACCTTTGTATACGCGGTCCATTGTTGACTGAAATGTCGCTATGTAGCACATGACTGTATGTAGCTACTAACATCATTTTTGTCGTTATTGTTTGGCCTACTTTATCCAAACAGGTAAGACTTACCTGAAGTTTAAGTGATTTCTATGGAAATGCTATTCTGATTCAAAAGAGAATTAACATACTAGTCAACATACAAAAGCAAACTGTTTGAATGCTTCAACAGAAGAATATTTAAAATTCTAACTAAACTCATTTGTTTAACAAATACTACATTCCTCTTAAATGCCAGGGACTGGGTCCCAAGAACTATCAAAATAAAAAGAAACATGTTCCCTCTGCCCTCAATAAGCTTATAATTTAGCAGACAATCAAATAAACTTACTCTGGAAAAGTTTTTCTTTGGCTTTAGCCAAGTTAAAACTAAACTGAGGGAGAACATATTCTGCAATTACAGAGATTTTCTTTTAAAATACACTAGGATCCCCATAGAAATATGGGCAAAAGATACCTACAAACAATTCAAAAATGGCCAAAAACAATCACACAATTCTCAGTAGTAATCAAAGATACATAAACTAAAAAAAAGTAAGATTTAAAAAAAATTTCATCAAAATGGCAAAGATTCTAAAATGATACCACAGAAGACTAATAAAAGGATTTTAGCAAGCAATCTCATATACTGCTGGATTTCTACTGCTGGGAGAAATATATAAATCAATGTAACCTTTTAGGTATCGCATACTTGCATCATACTTATTAAGGTGCCAATTATATGCTCAAAACTTTTTTTGCTCTCAGAAAGAAAAAAAATGGCACTGAAAATGCAAAAGGATTCACAGCTCAGGCTTAGAATCTCCAAGAACTTACTGTTTCAAAGCTGCCTTTATGCATCAAATCAATGGGTGGCCGGAATAGATCTGCAAGGGTAGTTAGTTTCTTATCTATTGCTCCTCCATTTCGCAATTCTTGCTCTTGCCGAACTGCAACACAGGAGGATGAGACAGTTTCAATCAACCATAAAATGAAAGTCATGAATCTAGCAATACAAAAAAACATGTATCAATTGCAAGAATTACTAAACAATGTGCTTGACCTCAAAGGCAAATGCAAATATCTAACGCTGACTCTGAATAAAAATACAAAGTGAGGTGGGAAGAGAGTCTTAAGACTTGGTGGTGCTCTCTATCCAAAGGTAAAGATAAAAGCAGAAAATTATATTAGAACCACCCAATCAAAATATTTCCTTCACATATTCAAAACTAACTTTAACACAGGAGAAAACTTTCACCTCCATTTATCTAGATCTAAAAGTGATCCTAATTTATCTGTTGTTTCTATCTACATTCCCAATCTTTAAAGATTCTGACAGTGAGAGAGAATGACCATTATTGTCACCTTCTCCTGAAAGGGCAAAGGATTCCCTGGATGAACTGAGTCAGTTTGGGTCCCTCTTCAATTCTCTCCAAAGTTAAAAGACCTATCTGTGCTTCAATGAGCTCGTTATAAATCAACTACAAAATCAAGCACGGCCCAAGAGTTTCTCATGTATTGTCTAAACATAACTATTCTTTTGTGTGGTGAGGAAGATTAGCCCTGAGCTAACATCTGTTGCCAATCCTCCTCTTTTTGCTGAGGAAGATTGGCCCTGGGCTTACATCCGTGCCCATCTTCCTCTACTTTATATGTGGGATGCCTGCCATAGCATGGCTTGATGAGCGATGTGCAGGTCCACACCCAGGACCCAAAACTGTGAACCCTGGGCCACCAAAGCGGAGCATGAGAATCCAACCACTACGCCACCGGGCCGGCCACATAAACATAATGGTCCTTTTCTTTAGGACATCATTGCTAAATCAGTACTAACTCCTCTAAAGGTATAAGGCCAAGATTCTCATCCTAACTTATTCCATAGAAATATATAAACTTATTCCAAACAACTTAGCCAAAATGTTAATAGTGCCTGCTTTGGGTGCTGTGGCTTTTTCTTCTATTTTTCAATCCCCTACAATGACCATTTTTCACTTTGGTCACTCCTTTAATTAACAGATACCAGGATCTTGAGGGAAATCAGTTTTGTTCTTTTTTTTTTTTTTTTTTTTTATGAAAAAGATCAGCCCTGAGCTAACATCCAGGCAAATCCTCCTCTTTTTGCTGAGGAAGACTGGCCCTGAGCTAACATTCGTGCCGATCTTCCTCCACTTTTATGTGGGATGCCGCCACAGCATGGCCTGACAAGCGGTGCATGGGTGCGCGCCCAGGATCCAAATCCAGGCTGCCAGCAGCGGAGCGCATGCACTTAACCACTATGCCACAGGGCCATCTCTCGTTTTCTATTATAGTCAGCATTTAGGTGCTCTTTCAGAAGCTGATTAAGCTTGTAAATTACCAGGTTTCTTACATTATCTCCATTTCTCTTACTATTCTTCTATCACCAAGTAGGTTAGAATTTGGAATAATTCAGCTCAAGGGGGAGTTAATAACAATCACAGACCGAATTCATAATTTCACTTTTTAAATAAGATTAGATTCCTCAAAGTAATTAGGCCTAATATTAATTATATTTTTCTTTTTCAGAAAAAAGTATACAAAACAAACTAGGACCTTGACCTATACAAGAGTGTATGGGTGCTTTTCTACTTTGTGGTGGTTTTTTTTTTTTTGGTGAGCAAGATTCACTGAGCTAACATCTGTTGCCAATCTTCCTCTTTCTTCACTTGAGAAAGATTAGCCCTAAGCTAACATCTGTGCCACTCTTCCTCTATTTTGTATGTGGGTTGCCGCCACAGTATGGCTTGACAAATGGTGTATGCCTGTGCCTGGGATCCGAACCTGCAAACCCAAGCCGCCGAAGTGGAGCGTGCTGGACTTAACCACTACACCACTGGCCCGGCCGCTACTTTGTGATTTTATATGTGGGAAAGAGAGAGGGGGGGAGGAGAGGAGGGAAAAAGACAAGGAGGGTAAGAGGGGAAGGAAAAGAGAGATGATAAACTGGTCCACAGATACCTACTAGTTTCAGTTTGAAAATCCCGGAAACCATCAAATATTGAACGTGCAGGCCGTCGTCTTTTAGGAGCTTTAGCAGGGAAAAGATAGAATTGATATAAAAATTTAAAAATTAATTTTGAAACAATTCTAAAAACTTCATTATCTATAAGTATTTCTTGTTTTAAAACACTCATAGATTTATAATAGTGCCCTCATTCAAAAAATAAAAAATTTTAAAAATCTTCAAGTCGTTAATATATAATTAACTTAACCATCTTCAGGCCAACCATTTTGTTTTACAAATCAAGGCCCAGTTAAGAGACATGACCAAACTTGTGTAAAAGATAAGAAGATTTTGAGGATGACTCCCCATGGAGATGAAGCTACACACATGCTACACATATTTAATTCAGGTCAGCCTAAGGGTTGGGACTACCCTTTGGTATATAATACTTGAGTAACTAAGTTCTAAACCATAACATTTAAGAACTACTTCTTAGTGAGTGGATACACACGTAGACTTATAAACACCAAAAAAAATGTTTAATTTGGAAGAAAAATTTTTCCCAAAGTTATAAAATGCTTTAGTGAAAAGTGAACAGAACCAAGGTCTTTTGGTACCCATCTATAGTGTCTATTACCCAATCGTTAAGTATTATACAGATGAAGTCTAGAAAGCAATAATCAAAATGTTATCTTCCTATATGTATGTGTTCTTAAACCTAAAAAAATTTATCAGATCATTTATATATCTTACAATAAATAAGGACATTTAATGATTCTTCCAATATGGGTAACAGTTACTAAGTTGGCTTATGGCACGCCTGGCCAGCATGTAATCAGAAAAATGCCCCATGTTAATCAATGATGATTAGTAGTAAGATTAGACAGGAAATATAAAAAAGTCTTCCACCCCACAACAAAGCATCTTTCCCAACAGCCTGTGTTTGCCATTATATGGGATAATTCTTTCTATCCAAGAACTACTGAGTAAAACAAAACAAAAATAACAAAAAATGAAGAACCACATGTAAAAAATCAGAATCATGACATTATCTCTAGGAAAAGGGATTTGGTTTAAAAAAAGAAACTTCTATGTTTTAGTTTTGTATTGAATTTTTAAATTTCAATTGAATTTTATTAGTATTGAATTTATTTAAATTAAATTTTTAAAAATTTAAGTATTGCCATTATTTCCCCCTCCCTCCCTTTACCAAGAAGAATCAAGGAATCTTATTCTTTTCAATCTTGGAACTATTTTTGATCAAGAGTTCCTATTTCAAATATATTTGTTTCTAGTAGGAAGAATATAGCCTTGCAAATACTGCCTTGTTAAAATTCATTATCAGATACTTTTAACCATAACAATTAAGAAAGTAAGGGTATCTTAGGATAAGACATAGAATAGCTACCTAAGAAAGCATATAATTACTACTAGGGAAGTAGTACACAAAAAGTAGTGTTCTTCTACTTTTAAATTGCCAAAGGCAGGCCAGTCAATATTCTACATTATTACACCCCCACACACACACTCTCTCTCTCTCTCCAGTTCAGCCCCTCCCTATTAGGCACCTGATCTCCTTGTGATTCTCACCAGTTCCTCTTATTGCTAACCTTCTACCCAACCCGTTTAATTTCCTGGCTCATAACCTGCTCCCATTTTCTTCCCCTTATTTATCCTAAGTCTAACCAAGAACCTCTCCTCAGGCCACAGCACCTCTAGCCCTAGGACCATTATTACTCCTGCTCACCTCTTCAATATGCAGCTTCCTGATTCTTCCAAACCATCTGCTATAAAACAAACATCAGCCCTCTATAGTCTCACTCTACCGCTCACAAAATAGGAGTGCTGGTCACTGAAGTCAAAGAGGCTAAGAGCTAAAAGAGCTAAAAGAGATTCAAAAGGAACTTCATCATCAGAATAGGGGAGTGGGACAAGTGGAGAAAAAAAATTTAGTGAGAAGAATGGCACTGTTTCACAAATCTCTGTTAATAAGCAGCTTAAGAGAAGACACCTGGGTTTTCAGATCTGCATATGCATTCAATCTGCTGCTATTCCTTTAGTTCAAGTATATGAAGAAATTAAAATTCAACCTCACACAGACATGTAATTGTAAAAGGAAGGAGAGTATTTTAATAGTGTTTTAAGATAACTGTGAATAGTCTCCTTTGATACTACACCAAAACTCAACCAGTGGTAGTTTCTTAAAGGTTAGCTGCAACATAGAATCTGAAATTTTATCAATGAACTTTCCATAACTCTGCTCCATTAAAATCCACTGGTCTATGTGGTGGGCAGTCTCTAAGATGGCCCCCAATTATGCCTATCTCCCAATATTCATAACCTGTGTGTGAATACCTTAAGTATGGGCAGGTTTGAATTGAATGTGGCAGAAGTGATGTGATGGGATGTCACTTCCAAGATTAGATTACAAAAGGATGGTGGCTTCCATCTTGGGCTGCCCTCTCTGATTCTCTCATTTGCTCTGTGGTAAGGAACTGACAACTCCAGCCAACCCATAGCCTCCAGAGTGAACTCAAAAGGAGATCTTCCGCTCAAGCTCCAAGATGATTGTAGCCCTGGCTGACACCTTGATTACACCCTTGTGAGAGATCCTAACCCAAGGCACCAGCTAAGCCACACCTGGATATTCCTGACCCAAAGAAAATGTGAGATAACAAATGTTTATTGTTTCAGGAAGCTAAATTTTAGAGTAATTTGTTACACAGCAATAGATACCTAACCTTTTTATATGTAATCCATCTTACAGTCTGAATAGATCTTTTACCTATGCACAATTTTGTAATATCGTGCATTGGTCATTTGAAAATATTTGTTCGCTGAGTTATGCAAACATTCCAAATACCGATCATTTCATTTAAAATCACCATCCGTTAATGTCACCACTAATCTCACCAGAAAGCCTTTAAGTATTGGGAAGCTAACAAACTCACAATTGTGAATATAAACTTTCTAAAACTCTAATTTCTGCCTGAAAGCTTTTTTTTTTAAATCACTGGTAACAAATAACGTCAGCTGTTTGCCTTGAAGCAGCAACAGGCTTTTGTTCATATCTGAGATGTTTGCCAAATGCCCAAGTCTAAATAACCAGTTTGTCAGCAATCTTTCAAGTAAAAATAATGTTCCATGAAAAAAGCAGCTAGTTTAGCTCACAGCTCAAACAACTGTACAAGTGCTTCCCCTTAAAGTAACCACAGTACTTCAGTATGCAGAAGTGCTTTACACACACATTCTGTTTCATCAAACAGAATAGTTAAAAATGTGTACTCAAGGGTCAAGATTTAATGAAATTAATTTTTGTTGCTTCATCAAGAACACTATTAAATAAAACTGGCTTTTTTTTTTTAAACTGCAAGTGTGTGGCAGTGAAGAATTCAACGCATACTAGTACAGTTTGGTGCCACTGCCCTGATTCAACTAAGATGCAGCAGTTTGACCCATCATTGCTTTTGAACCATCAGTCCAAATGTCAACACACTGAAAAAGGCAAATAACTTCTCAGTATTATTATGAAAATAATTTTGATCTTACAGACTCCCTGAAAGGGTATCAGGGACCACATCCCCCAGACCACACTTTAAATCAATACTGTCCTAAGAAGAAAATAGTTCTCCAAAGACCTTTTTCAAGTTATAATATGGTCTAATAATGAAAGTTAGGATTCATTTCCTAACTGTATAAAGTCATTCTCATCCCCCTCCTCAATGTATATCAAACCAGAGGTAAGGAAGGAAAGTGGGGTTTCAAATGGGAACTCTCTGCCTCTGCTCAACAGTAAAACAGCACAGAATCTATTTCCTGTAGACTTCCCCACTCAAAGGTCCTGTAAAGATTCCAAGGGCATTACTCCTCAGCTCCAAAATCTATTCATAACATCTATATGAAAAAGAATTATGAATAATGCTTTATTACTTTTGGTATATTAACAGCACAGTGACTAGGTGAATCAAACAGTCCAGAAACCACATATTATACTTCAATATTCAGATCTTACAGTTTTCTTCCTCCCATCTTTATTTCCGAATCTGGACAGTATATTCTTTACTTCTCACTACAGTAAACTCCAAAGCTGCCATGTTAAATATCGATCTTAAAGAAATTCTCAAATGAGGTGCTTTTCAAATCAAAAGATACAGTTTATGTAATTTTCTGCATCCGTTTCTTACAACTTATTTCTTCTCCTTTATTTTAGTTTACCTACAAAACTTTTTTTTTTTTTTTTTTACTGAGCAAGATTCACCCTGAGCTAACATCTGTGCCAATCTTACCCTATGTATGTGGGTCACCGCCACAGCATGGCTGACAAGTGGTGTAGGTCTGCACCCAGGATCTGAAACCATGAACCGAGGCTGCAGAAGCGGAATGCATGAACTTAACCACTAGGCCACTGGGCTGGCCCCCCTACAAAATTTTTTTTTTTTTTTTTTTTTTGGTGAGGAAGATCAGCCCTGGGCTAACATCCATGCTAATCCTCCTCTTTTTGCTGAGGAAGACCGGCCCTGAGCTAACATCTGTTGCGAATCCTCCTCCTTTTTCTCCCCAAAGCCCCAGTAGATAATTGTATGTTATAGTTGCATATCCTTCTAGTTGCTGTATGTGGGACACCACCTCAGCATGGCCGGAGAAGCGGTGCATCGGTGCATGCCTGGGATCCGAACCCAGGTTGCCAGTAGCAGAGCACGCGCACTTAACTGCTAAGCCATGGGGCCAGCCCCTACAAAACTTTTTATAGGCCTTTTTCTCTTCATTATTGTTCTCAATATGTACAATATACATTTCTACATCTTTGTCCAACCAGATTATAACTTTACCTTCTACTTAATATACCTATTAAGGCCTAAAATATTTGGCTCACAAAGGTAAGTGCTTATTAAACTAAAACTACAAATTTTCTTCAAATCTGATTAAATGTCCATTTTCCACTGTCTTCTCTATACACCCAGATTGATATTACAATTTTTTGCATGGATTAGGTATTACTTTTTCCTTTGTTCGAAGTATGAATAGCATTTCTAGAAATTAAGAAAGAGTGAAGGTAAAAAATACCAAGACAGTAAGGATATGGCAGTCAAGTAGGCATCCAGAAAACAAAAAATAATCAGTCTTTTATCTAATGCTAATTTTCCTCCTTTTGGCCTTCTACAACAAACATCAACTTTTTAATCCGGCTCACTCTTTGGAAAGAACCAACTATGTGACTTTCTTGAGAGGAAATTCCAGAATTACAAGATAAGAATTGACTCTAGAAATAATAACCTCTGAGCAAGCCTTCATATCTTTTGATAGTTTCATTAAAATCCTGAAGACAACAATATAGTCAAGTAAAGCCAAGGAAAAAAGGTGAACTTACCACCAAACAAAGGTTCTGGTTCCACCAATATTTCCTGCTTTTGAGGAATCGGGGCACGAACTTCTTCTCTATTAAAAAAAAGGGGGGAAATCTCAAAAGGAAAACTTTTCTGCTACCTGTTCTCTCTGTAAGTATTGTGAATGCATTCAAATGAACAAGTAAAATGAACACCAGACTTAGTGATTTTTAGGAACCACAGTGATAAATGATTGTGAGATGGTTTCCATATAGAGATCAACTGGAATAAACTACCTGGCATAGATAGCTCAAATGGTTTATAAAGAAAGAACAAACAGAAAAATAAAAAATATTTCCCCTTTCCTCTCGAGTTCCCTACCCTAAATTCTTTTAGAAAAAAAGAAGTTAGGGAATTTACAAAAAAAAAAAAAAAAAAAATTAATGGAAAAATACAGGCTTAATAAAAGCAATATCACATTACTACTACACAAAATAATAATTAAATCGCACATATATTAAAATAAGCTTGAACAAACATGCAGTGAATTTTATGCTAGTTATGAAGATGGTTAACATAGGTATTACCTTGGATTATTTATTAAATAGACCCTACTATATACAGAAAAAGTAATTACTCATCTTTTAAAAGCCTACAAACTCTTCAGTTTACCTCCAAAGGGTTTACTAATAATACATCTCTTCCAGTAAAAAATACTCCTTTAGATATACTATAAAAATGGCGTATGTTCCTTTAAATATCAGTTTAATTATTTTATTGTTTTAAATCAAATATGAAACTCTGCTGATTAATAACAAGTAATGGTAAATTTCAAATGTATTATCTTCCTGCTTATAATAAATGTTAATTTAAGTTAGGGCTAATGTTTTCCATTCAGGTGTTTCTAATAATAATAACTGAGCTTAAAGCCCTGTTTTTGATTTCTAAGAGTTGGCACTCTAAAGCATACTTTATGAAAAAAAGTATGAATACTCATTTGTCAACAAGAACATCCTGTAATCAAAGAACAACTAGTTGCACAAAGTAATCTACAATAAGCCAAATGATTGAAAGATAAAGGATAATTCAAAATTATGTTAAGTGGTCTTTCCTACCAGACATCAGTCACCGCTACCACACAGAATTTCAATACTCTAAAGGAACATACAACATATCTGTAAGAGGAAGTTCTATTAATCGTCTTTCATTCAAAGAGAAACAGGCCATTATCTTAAGAAAACTAAGAATTTAAAAGACATCTTTGACCTAAATAAATCTTTCCATTATTGGTATACCTCACTTTATAGTATACATATATAATTATCTCAATCTAAGACAATTTAATTACTCAAAAAACAAACCTCAAACTGATGAAATACATCAATTAGGGGGATGGATGAAGCAGTAGTCCCTATACAGAAACACTCGATTACTACCTCTATGAGGGTATCTGTTCCAAGATTGTTAGCTACCTAACAAAATGGAAGAATGGAACAGAAAAAGGTGAACTGTCAAGAGTGAAAATTACAGTTTAGGAATTAGGAGCCACCATCAAATGTTAAATCAATTAGCAATACAAATAATCTAAGTCAAATTATAATATAATTCAGTAAGAAAAGACATTAATTTATCAAAACTATTTTTAAACACAATTAAGAAAATATGTTTTATACAGTAAAGACAAATATGGTCCCCCAAATCAGCTGTGAACACTGTTATTCAAGTTTCTGTAACTAAATCATGTTTTCATACTGATTTCCATTAAAAATTTGAGCTATGTTGGGGGAGAATGGGATATCACATTCGAAATACACAGCCAACATTGACAGGAAAAAAATTTATAAAATATTAATAATGATCTCTAAAGTTCATGCTTCATGTGGAAACAATATTATTCTAGAATCTGGAACTAGATCAACAAAAGAGGCAATTATGTCCTGAATGTTATTTGGCTTTTTAAACCTACCTCTAACTTAATAAAAATAAAATCCGTCTTTTGCCTATTCTCTTAAAAAGGGGATTTCTCTTGTTTAGTATTTCATGTTGTAAACATTGAGAGTTATGAAGGACTATGAGTATTAAAGTCTTATTTAAGGATATTTTTGTTTCAAAAATCAATGGTTTTCCTTTGAGTAGCATTCATCTCTAACATTTTCCAAAGACTATTGGAATTTTGCCCAAAAGGTATTCATTTCAAACTCTCAATGTTATCAAATGTAAAGGGCAAAAAAACACCAAATTTGTTCACCATTTATTACTATTCTCTATATAGTACAAGTTCCATATGCTGAAGGTGCTTCTAATGATTAACTACATGTAACTATTTAAGTTATAAATGACTAGAATTATTTTAAAATTTTTTTCATGGCAACAAAACTTTCCTGGAAAGTTTTGAAAATCCAGGAAAATCTAGAATTGGGGAATCTGAGCTTTATTGGGCTTTACTTCCATATCTGCTACTTAATTGCTGTGTAGCTTGGAAAAATGGCTATGTCTCTGCTTTCTCATCTGTAAAATGTGGATAATAATGCCATCCTATAAGGTTCTTCTGAGGATAAAATAATAGACGTGACAGTGCTCTAGAAAATTTAAAGTATATAGGTATAAAAATTTCCACTTGACACATTTCCAGATGCTTTCAACTTGTAATTTACTCAAAAACAGAGAATCAACCTAACTGATAAAAATGTGACTGCTCAATTTAGACAGGGGGTAGCTCCTAACAATAAATAATAAATTCATACTCTGTGTGTGGTCTGACAGTGGAGACACTTGCTGAACTGGTACTCGGCTCTTCAGCGATTCCTCCACCATCCAAAAACATAGTGACTGCCATCTCCAGATTATTGTTGCAGGCTTCAAGCATATGTTTCCCTACACTTTCACTTGCACCTGAAATAGCAAAAAGACAGGAAAAAAGTTTTTAAAGAGACAGCTTCTTACTTTCAGTTCATATTAGAATACAGAATTAACAAGCAAATTAATAGTACTTTTTCTCTTTTAGAATGAATGACTTCTTTTTAAAAACCTGTCCATTTACTTCTATACTGTTGGCTGATGTACAGAGCTAGAAAAGAAAGTAGCAGCATTAAAACAGCAGTATTCCTTCATAATAAAACCGAAACTAAATAAATCATTTATTTGCCATTTCCTTAAATAGACCAATTATATATTTGTTAATAAACTGAAAAAAGGTAAAGAAAAATGAAAGACTGCATTCTAGAAAGTTAGAAATATTTTCTGTTAGAAAGAATGCATTTCAGTTAAGATCTCTCTTTCTATTATAAAGAAAGCATTTTTAATAACAATGGGAAAGAAGTGAGATGGGACATTTTTGTCAAAGATATAACTAAGTCAAAATCTGGTAAGAAATGTCAATCTTCATCATTTACAACTGGCCCTATCACACACTCACTCATTTGTAAAATAAAGCCAATACAGTCTGTTTGACGCAATGTAAATTGGTAACACTCTTTAAGAAAACAATTTTATGACATGTATCAAGAAACATAAAAATACTCATTCCTTTTTTGACCCAATAATTTGGGTTTCTAGTCAAAAGAGGACTTATTCTTTTATTCATTCTACATAAAACACTACATGCATAAACATATCTATAAACATATCTAGTATAGCTTCAGATAATATTAAAAACTGGAAACAACATAAATGTCCAACAGTAGTAGAGTCTAAATGGTAGAATCTATTTGATGGAACATTTTGTGGCCATTAAAAAGCATCTCAGGCTTTCCATTTGGGATGACTTTCCTTCTACCTGAATTATGTCCCTTAGAATCTCCTTCTATGGGGTCTGTTGGAGTGTGCGGGTATGTGTGTGCGCGTGTGTGGTTTAAAAATGTCTTTATTTTGCTGTCATTCCTGAAAGACAGTTTTACTGGATATTCTATTTTAAAGCTGACAGCTATTTTCTCTCAGTACATTGAAGACAGCATTCCAACGTCCTCTGGCTTCTGTTGTCGCTGCTGGGAAATCAGTTGCCAAACTAAAGAAAAACACTTTTACAGCAATCTGTTGTTTCTCTCTAGGTGCTTTTAAGATCTTCTCTGTGTTTAGTCTTCTGTAGTTTCACTCTGATTTATTGGGGCTGATTTTATTTATTCTCCTTGAGGTTCACTGGACTTCCACCATGTAAGGATTATCTTTTATCAATTCTGAAAAATTCTCAGCCATTTCTATTTAACAATTACCTTACTCCTCCATTCACACTTATTACATTCTGGAACTCCAATTAGATGGGTGTTAGAACTAACACTTCACTCTAAGCTCTACCAATCTGTTTTTTACCTATTCACTGAGCTTTTAATTCCAGTTAATTTTTTATAACTAGAAGTCCTGTTTTTGTTTTTTTCCTAATCTGCTTGGTCATGTTTCAGAGACCCTTACTTCATACTCATACTTCAATCCCTTCCTTTCTTCAAGCATATTAATTAATCAAACATTTTGGAATTATTAAGACAAAATATAAACTTTCTGCAGTCTCTAGGGGTCACTGTCTCTTGTTTCTGCTGGCTCTTGCTCACTGTGCCACAGTTTTTCTGCATTTTGTGATTTTTTTGATCATGATCTCATGTGCCTTGGAATTTTAATCTGCAGATTTTGAAGCCTGAGTTGAAGGTACATTCCTCCTAAGAGGATCTGACTTGATAGATTTTGTAACGCACCTTGTGGGGACTACCAAACAGGGACCACTTTAAATACATTCTTGACATGAAGTTTTACAAGACCACATGGGAAATGTGACCCTGCAAGGACACTTGTTATAAATTCTCAGTGAAGGTATCTCCTGCCACTCCCCAACCGTCAAGGTTGAAACAATCGAGTTTCAGCTTCATGAAGGGGAGAGGTCTCCTTTCAGACTCCTCTCCTTAGGAAGGCAGCAGGCTTTGTTTCCTGTGCCCTATGAGCCTATCAAAAGAGAAGTTCAAAGCCATCCAGTTTGGGCAGATTCCATCAGGGTGAAGCCTTGCTTTAAATCTAGCTAATATCTGCATTCTCAATTTTATTTTTTAGCCTCTGAGTATTCCTTACTTTCTTGCCAGCCCAATGATGCATTTTTAAAAGTTTTTTTAAATACACATTTTATTCAGGATTTTTTCTCAGTGGGAGGGTTATTCTTGATATCACTCTAGTTTAGCCCTACTGCCATAAATGGAAGTGCTGACTCATAATCTCTCTCATTTGTTTTCTCTTCTGTACTATGCTATCTCGAAGGCTTTAAATCAAGCCCTTAATACTTCTTTTGTGTGTGTGTGTGTGAGGAAGATCAGCCCTGTGCTAATATCTGCCAATCCTCCTCTTTTTCTTTTTTTTTTTTTTTTGGCTGAGGAAGACTGGCCCTGGGCTAACATCCATGCCCATCTTCCTCCACTTTATATGGGACACCGCCACAGCATGGCTTGCCAAGTGGTGCGTCAGTGCGCGCCCGGGGTCTGAACCGGCGAACCCCGGCCGCTGCAGCGGAGCACGTGTACTTAACCGCTTGCGCCACCGGGCCGGCCACTTCTTACCTGGATTACTACAATAGGCTCCTAATTGATCATCATTTTATCTTCCACCTTGCTGCTGAGGTTATGTTCCAAAATACAAGTCTGATTATATAATCCCCTGGTTTAAAATTTTTTAATGGCTCTCTGACACCTACAGTATAAATTCCAAAGTCCTTATATCTGGAAAGTCCTTTGTGATCAGGCCTCAGCTTATCTCTCCGGCTTTGGCTCTCCTCTTCCCCATCCTACACAATTCAGTACAGTCATAAGTGAATTACAAGCTTGGCATGTCCTTAGCCGCCTCATCTCTCTACCTTCATCTAGTTCATGCATGCTCAAGAATCACCTTAAGTGTTACTTTGTCCATTTGTGTGCTAAGCATTCTTTACCCTACCTCCCCACTTCCCTCCTTGCGATCCTCTTCTATTATATACATAGATATACTACTAAACAGTAAATGTTGGTTTACTTTCTGGCTCCTCCAAAAGAACAGAAGCTTCTTTTCTCTTGGTACCCCCAGCACCTAGTATCATGTTTGCTTGCATGTGATCAATGTCTAATAAAATGACTTAGAGCTATTTCATAGTACTTCAGCTCACCAGTTAGTTCACCAGGGAAAGAAGGGCCAGGCTTCAGCCAAAACAACCCTTTTATATATCCTTTAAATTTTATAACTGTGTGCATATATTTATGTTTTAAATTTCATTTATAAAGCAACATGGTTACACTATAGAAATCACAAACAGCAAATGGGTACTTAGGATAAATGGACTTAAGATAAAATTTCCAGTGAGAGCATCACATACAAATTTTAAAAGTGTGACATCTCAAACAACGTGAAGTGAAAGTCATATGCTCCAAAAAACTGTCAGATGACACAGAGTAGATATAGCTTTATCAGACAGCTGACAAAGACATATCTAAGATGCTAGTGAAAAAAACTGAAGAAAATTATTTCATAAAACATGAGTGGAAAAAACCATTACTATACAACATTATGATTTAATGTTAAACCAATAAAAACATATAACAAAAAAGCATCTGATCATTCACTTAAATCTCCAGAAATTTACATATGTATGTTAGTCAAAAACCTTTTTTGAAAATTGGACAAATAGAGAATTGTCTTTTATTTGAGGTTTGCTGTATATGTAAGGTATATATGGTAACTTATGTTACACAGGACCAAGGAGGTTTTTTTTTTTTTTTTACTTTAAAAGGGCTTCATGGGGCTGGCCCCATGGTGCAGCGGTTAAGTTCGGCGTGCTCCGCTTTGGTGGCCCTGGGTTCATGGGTTCAGTTCCCAGGCGCAGACCTACACCGCTCATCAAGCCATGCTGTGGCGGCGTCCCACATACAAAATAGAGCAAGACTGACACAGATGTTAGCTCAGGGATAATCTTCCTCAAGCAAAAAGAGGAAGACAGGCAACAGATGTTGGCTTAAAGCCAATCTTCCTCACCAAAAAATTAATTAATTAAATAAAATAAACAAAAGGGCTTCATATGTTACTCAAATTTGAGAAACTTTCTTAAACTCTTCTCTCTCCAACTGCAAACATCCCATCAGTCAACCAACAAACCCTACAGTTTCCATCTAATTAATACCACGCCTATCCATCCTGTTCTCTTTATGTCCATTGCTATAGTCTCAGTTCAAGCCTTCAATGTCTCTTATATGAACTATTGCATCCCTCTGCTCTTGGTCATGCAACTTTTGATATACCTTCTACACTGCAAAATAATGTAAATTTGATTCAATAGTTCTGTGTTGCTGACTGGAAAAGTGTTCATCTCTCTTCAGCTGCATAAAAGATTTGGCCCTTATTTAGCACTCCTATTATATACCCCTCTGCTCTCATCTCACCTCTATACAATTCCCTCCAGTCACAAAGGTCTACATAACCTGGGCAGATCCCTTGGTGGTACTTTATAATATCATGCCTTTGCATGACATGGATTGTCATATCAGTCAAATCAGTTCCCTCATTTTTCTTGACAACACACCAAATACCCACCTTTCTGTTAAGTTTTGGACGTTCCTGCTCCGTCCTCACTCTGAAGTAGATACAGGAACAAATATATACTTTTCCATGGGGTCTTAATCTCTATCCCTGTCTCTGCTAGCTTCTCTATCTTGTAAACTTTAAAACTCACTGAACTAGCCCAGTTCTCACGTTTCTCATACTATTACTCTCTCCTCAAGTTCTCACTCAAGCTGAACCAAAAGTTCTCAAGTTCTAATATATACAAATTTACACTCTCACCATTAGAAAACACACTTAAAAAAAAATGAAATCTCAGGCCGGACCCGTGGCCTAGTGGTTAAGTTCAGCGCGCTCCGCTTCAGCAGCCCAGGGTTCGCGGGTTCAGATCCCAGGCATGG